TTAATAATTTTAATTATAATATAAAATTAAATCAATAAAATAATTTATATTTAGTTAAAAAATTCAACATATATAATAAAATGYCAGCTCTAAACAAATATTTAATAAACAAATAAAATATTAAAAAAATAAAATAAAGGACTCATATTATGTTGAAATAATTTAAAAATAAAAATATTAAAATACTTATTTACTTTTTTATTAATATATAATTTTTTCCTTTACTTTTAATTTATTTATTTACAAAATATATCATTAACAATTAATTATAAATAGTATATTTAAAAAATAATTATAAATAGTACATTTTATTATTAGTAATTAGCTGTCAATAATAATAAATATATATAAAAATTAATCTTAATTATTTTTAAAAATAATTATACTTAAAATATTTTACATGAAATTATATAAAATTTAAGTTACCTTATGATTAAAAAGAAATTTACGTGCATTGCACGTGGTAATACACTAGTAAAATTTAAAAGTATGGATACCGAAATGAACATTTTGAGAGTAGATTGATCAAAATAAATCAAAACCAAAAAATACACGTAACAAAATAATATTATTTAAAAATTAAAGGTACTTATTTTGTATATAATTTTTAAATTTTACACGATATTCCAGAACCATAAATATACTCAATTTTAGACTTCGTCTGATTTTTCCTTTTCTACTTATATATATGAGAGTTTTGAGTTACCATTTGTGCATAAATATCTTACTTCGTTTGTAACATAGTTGATATAAAAGGCGATTACCGTACTAACCACCTTGCACTTGGGAATTTGACCTCCAAATATTTCTTATTTTATATGATTTCAATTATTGAACTCGTACCATCTCCAATTGGCCTATATCACAATTTAAAATTAAATAACAAAAATCAACCAATTTTATTAGCTATTTCGACAAAATATTAGTGATTTACATGCATCATGTAACTTTTACCAAATTTCGAACCGTTCGTATTATCGATATATCAATATTCATAGACTTCAATTTCAAAATCAATTAACTAATGCGATATGCGATAAATAATCTATTTATACTATAAAAATTTATTATCTTTTCGATGTGAAATCTTTTAACACATATTATGTGTATGGTAACAAAATCATGTTTTTGGGTACGTTTACTTTGAGGAGATGAAAATCAATTTGTTTATCAAAGAGTAGAAATAAAATTAAATGGTGGGACCGTATAATTTTATTAGTCAACTGAATTTGTTATAATTTATCATAAATTTATATTTGATTATATTTGATTTTTTAATTTTACTCTGTTATTAGTAATTAATATCAATAAATTTTTGTTAAATATAATTATATTATTATTAAATATTAGGATAATAAAATTTAATGCTATTTTATATGAAACGATGATTGTTCTAACTAAAAAGTATTTTAGTTGATGGAGTTTTATTTTAATTATTCATTATTTTATTAATATTAAATAAATTATTATAATAAAAAATATTTACTATCAATAATATAGTAATAAGATAAACTAAAATTAACTAAAAAAATTAGCACAATAATATATTTATAAATAATTAGAAATAAAAGTATACTAATAATTGTTATATATATTTGATTCTGATTCAGACAGTTTTAGTAAACAAAAAATTCTAATTTTCATGACCCGAAATTTTTCATAAATATTATCAAAAGAATAACATTATCAGATAATAGAGATTACAGAGTAACAATGAAAATAGGAATGCAGATGAGCATGAACTATAGACTATACCAAACTCTCTCTCTCTCTCTCTCTCTCTTTTATTTTTTTTACTTTATTATTATATTATAGTTTTTGAGGCATTATGAATTGATATTTCGACTTTTCGGACATCCCCAGATTAATATGTGATTCTCCATGTACCGCCTCACCTCATTACTGAAGAGAGACAGAAAGAGGAGAGAGAGAGGAGTTTTGGGGCCATGGATTTAGACCTCACACTCACAACTTCTTATGGACATCGCATTGGCCCCACGCTAAGATGCACTAGTGCACAATTGAACCAACTTTTTTCCTCCACATTATTTTTTTTATTTTTTTATTTTTTTATCTTTTCTGATTTTACCTCTTTATCTTAAAATCTTTTAACTTAGATTTAGATTAAATGTTGCCATATTTATGTTCAATTTGAAAAATTCAACTTGAATGAGKGTTGATTTTACGTGGATTTCATGAATTACAAAAACATGGGTGTGCTATGAAATAGATGGGATTTCAGATAAAAATTACATTATAGAGATCATTTTTATTATACTAAGAAATTATTAATCTTGACAAAGTTATTATACGGTTGATTTTCTACTTTGGTAAGACTTAATTTTATGTTGAGATCGATTGAGATTGGTGGTTTTTTGTATATTTATTTATTTTTTTTAAATTAGTGGGTCAATTAGTCCAGATCATGTAGAAAGTAAAAGTTGCAACACTTGTCTAAGTCTTGATTTAATTTGAGGAAGTTTATTTACGGTGAAAATTGATATATCTTGTTAAGTTTTGGAGTAACGTAATTATCATTTTTATAACTTTTTTTTTAACAATTCTAATACTTAAATTTGCCCTTTTATTTCCGGTGTAACAATATCAACCATATTAAATAAAAATTTATCATTAACATGGTAGAAAGAGACTTCGACTCTCTTAATTACATTACATTTTGGACATTCATTTCTCTCCAATCTATTTATTTTATTAATCATCTGATTGTTTTTATTTAGTTTTCTCTTTTTATAACATCATTAATTGCAGTATGAACTATCTCATTTTTTTATAAGTATTTAACTAATATACTGCTTGATAATTATTTTATTTTCAATACTGTACTTCAAATAAATCATTGTTTAGAAATAAATGGTCACCATTGTCTTAACTTTAAATCATAGCCAAGTATCAAAAACAAAAATGACTTCTCTTCTATGAAAAAATATTTTACTTTATAAATTCAAACACACAGTCAATATTTTTTTTTCTTGGTTTAATTTGGATTTTGTACATTTAAAATATTTATTTTGGTTCCTTTAATTTCAAAATTTTATTCATCTTAATCGTTATACTTTCAAAACATCTATTTTGATTATTGTGCTTTCAAAAATTGATCAATTTAGCCCTTATCACAAATTTTATACTAATTGAAACTCTTTTATAAAATTTTATGAAGGTCATACTAAAATTATGATTGAAATAAATAAGATAAAAAAAAAATGAATGAATCAAAATGATCACTTTTTAAAAATATAAAGACCAAAATAAATGTTTTTAAAATATCCTATCGAAATAAATAAAAATTGATAATATACGGATCAAGACAAACATTTTAAAAATACAACAAGTATACGATGGCCAAAGTAGTATTTAAAATAAAGATACTAAAAGAATTCAAATAATACAACGGTTAATTGGTGAACATGGAAGGAAAATAAATAAAAAAGAAATCGTCGTATGGCCAATCAAATTTATTAAACCCAGAAATAGAAATGATTTTTTTTAAGTAAAAAAAAAAGAAAAAGAAAAAGAAAACTGTGATATAAAGATACTGCAAAACAGAAACAAGAATTAAACATTCTACCGGACCTTACAGATAAAAAAAAGCGCCACGTGGCGTGTTAGTTTAACTCGGGAAATTTATTAATTACCTATATTTGTGTTTTTCCTGAAAGACCCCCCAGCTGAGCTGCCCAAAACAAAGGAGAAATATGAGTGGTACCATTTTCGTAATTTTAGATTACCCAAAAGGGCACTTTATAACAAAACTCAAACCTCAGTAAGCCTCATCCTCCTCACAGTATCAACTGGACCCCACACACACCATGTCTCTTCTATTAACCAATTAAACACTGCTTACAATACAATGCCCACATTATCAAATTCCAGAAAATAAAATAACTGTTTTCATTTCGTTCTTTTTTTTTTTAAATTATTTTTTAAAGACTGACAAATTAGAAATATGTATTTCTAAATGCAGAAGCAAATTTAAAATTATACTCAAATACTATCATGAGAACAAAAAAAAAAGTTAAAATTGTGATATATATATTTATAAATGTTGTTTGCCGTGTGATTTTAAATGAATAATGAGTAGAGTGATTGCGTGTGTAATGACATAGTTGGAGATGAAGTGGTAGAGTCAAACACAACGATAAAGAGTGTGATTGAGATGACTTCACAGTTAAGCACTACACCTAAATACACTGTCACGGTGTTAGAATTAGTAATGTCTAGAATGTTTAACTTTTTTGATAATCGGAGAGAACTTAACCCGTGTGTGTGTGTTTTTTTTTGTTTTAATTTTGAAATGGATCACAAAGCGTCGTTGTTATATAAGTTGCTTGATGATGAGTTATTTGGTGAAGTGGTTATGACCAGCTTTGGAGTTTTAATTGCGTGGCAACCCCACAATGTTAGTATTGCAATTGGTGGGCTTCTACTTGTGTCGAACTCACTTGAATTGGGCAACCCGATCACGGCACGATCTTACTCACGAGCTAGCCCAACCCACTCTACGATTCAACTTGGTGTATTATATCAGAATCTAAAATTTATTATTTATTGGAAAATTCTATATATAACAAATGTAATCCAACTTTATCTTCTCAATTTAATATAACAATAATGCCTATCCTTTTTCTTTTATGATAGTTAATGCTAAATCTTATCTAAACTACATTGTTGTACCATAAAAAGATGAGAGTGACTTTGAAAAAAATAGCATTAAACTGAACAATGGCATTAAGCCTCAGCAGGATTCAACAACTGGGGGCAAAGAAAGAAAAAAAAGAAATGCAGTCGGATTTGTTTATGTATTTTAGCGAATAAAAAAGAGTTTGAAATGTATGATATGATATTATATATTATTAAATGAATAGCAGCAGCAAAAGCAAGGAAGGTGGAGAGAATCTAGAAATGCCAATTTCTTTTTGTTTAGAGAAATGAGTTTAAAATTTGATAGAAATTGGAAAAGTAAATATGGACGGGGGATAGAGAGAGAGAGAGAGAAGTGAAGAAAAAGCAGAGAATAAAAAGAGACCGGATGTTGACAAATTTCATGTCACTGTTCTTGGAAGGTCGTTCGTTTGTGTGAAGATTTCTTATCTGGGATCTCTCTCTTTTCTTTTTTCCAAAAAATTAAAAAGAAATTAAGAAGCTCTTTCATTCTCTCTCTCCGTGCCTGAAAATTCTCTTCCATCTTTACATTGAGAGAGAGAGAGAGAGAGTGGCCCAGCAGATCGAAAATCTCCTCTTTTTTCTCCACCCCGATGACGATCTAATTCCTTCACTGCTGTTGCTAAAACGCCCACCTCCTTCTATGTCGATGTCGTTTATCTGTAGACATAAATATATATAAATATATGTATATATATATATGATTTTTTGTTTATTCGTTTTCGTTCTTTGATGGTGAGAGTTGCCGTCTCTAAATTTCCCTCTTCTCAAGGTTTTTGCTTAATGGCCGATTCCACAAGGGGTTCTTGAGCTCTCGAATCAGAGGATGTGGGTTTAAGGTAATTTTCATTTTCCCATCTATTTATTTGTTTATTTATTTCTCAATTTGATTTCTCGCTTCCTTTTCGATTCCGATGATTCCCTTTCTATAGGTTTTCTTAATTCATCTTAATTTCGTATTCTACTCTCGCGTCTTCTCACTTTCAAGCACTGCCCGCTGCTATTGCTTTTTGTTGATTGTGCATTTTCTTTCGCAAATTCTTTTTAGTTACGAACTGTTTACCAGTTGAACATTTCAGGACTCGACTGCTGGCTTTCAGCTGGTAATTATCGTTGATTGTGTTTGGTACATTTGGGAATTTGTTTATTGAGATTTGGAGACGGTATAGATATTTGTTCTGCTAGTTTAGTGGCCGAGAAGAGAATCGATCTTTTCCTTTTCTTTTGATCGTAATTTGTTTTGGGCGTTTCCTTGAGATTTTTGCCCTTTTCAGGATTTTGTATTGAGTTCTTCATCATCTGATTTGCTCTTGCATTATCATGGACTTTGAATGATCCGTTCTTTCCTGCTCAAATTTCAAGATAGGGGACTAATTTACCGATTCTGATTAAATAGTAAGTTAGTAACTTGAGAGGGTATTTTGATGATGCATTGCTCAATTAAATGCACTGTGTTTGGACTGGAATCTTATAGCGTAATTAGCTTATTGCAGTTGTCTTGCTGCCAATTGTAATCAGGTTGGCTTATGTGGAGATTGAGATGACTGCAATAATTCTTTAGCTGCTTCAGTACATTTTCTTAGCAACTGATCCGAACTGCCTCTGTCGAATTACTCCATGAGTTTTACCAAGTAATTCATTTATCTGTCAGTAGCTTATTGGAGTTAAAGACAGTTGCCATTAAGTCCCTATTTTATGATCAGCTGTTTATGTGGTAGAAATAATTCATTTTTGGGAATTTGAAGAAGATGCAAGCATATAGTGTTAATATGACAACTCATATAGAGTATACTAATTATAGTGTTGCTTTAAAGTGGTAACTATGCATTCCTACTGGTTATCATACTGATGAATGGAATATGTTCGGGCCTGAACTAATTTGCTTTCACATTGTGTTATATACCGGTAGCTCTAATTCCTTATCGTTTGTTTAAGAGTTTATTCCGTAGAGCAGTTTATTTTAATCTTTGTGCCCGAGAAAATTGCTACACGGTGGTGAGAGTGAGAATGTTTGCTCTTGCACCTGATAATGTGCATTGTGAGTTAGGTATTGGCAATCAACAAACATGATTTCCTTATATAAGCTCATTGCAATCAATATTTTCTCTATTGGATAAATGTTCCATCTTTTATTTTTGCCCTTTGTGGACATTTCTGATACTTTACTACAGTGACAGTTAGCTATATATCTTTGGGAAAAGTAGAAATAGAAGTAAATGTTGTAACATGCTTGGTTTCTCTTGCATTCTTAGAGTCTGTAATAGATGCCTTTTATAAGGACCAACTTGTCTAACAAAAAACCTGATTTTAGCTTTTACCTATGTTTCCCTTGAAGTCTTTGGTTGGAAATAGCTACAAGCTGCTCCTCTGTGAAAATAACCCTCCATTCAGCTCGAAGTTATTTACTCCCTGTATCTGAAGCATCTTTTGGGTCTTACTATACGATACCAGGCCATCAGTGATCATTCTGAGGTTAGCGTTAGCCACAGTAGGAAACTGCGAAACTTGGTTAACATGGGCTGTTCAGGTCCGAACCAAGTACATGACATTCTCGATGGCTATGTGTGCTACATCGGTAAAGTTGGGCCTGGAGAGCATAATCTTTATGGTGAAAATATGAAGTTGGTGAGATTTGTTCCCAACCTCAAGTCAATGACCATCACTTCCATAGTTGAAGATCCAGGCCCGTCCAGTGTTTGACCTGAATTGTGCTTTTAGCTGAGAGATTTTTCTCTTTGATAAGTCAATAAGAGTAGTTACTATTTGATAAGTCAATAAAAGTAGTTATGCTTCTTTAGATTTGCTTATAGTTAACAATGAATCTTTCTAATAATACCGACTCCTTATGCTATGAATATGTAACGACACAATGAATCTTCATTGACACCAGGAATGGGAACAAAGGTGCAGTATGAAAGTTATTTGCCAGGATATCACTCAATGAGGGATCTAAATGAAGATTCTCATGGTTGTAGCTGGCCCTTGTATTATGGTGAAAAAGCATGTCAGAGCGGCCAATATTTTAATGGAATTTTGCCAAGAGCTGCCTCAGATGCATATCTAGGTTGTGATAGAGATGCTGTGAAGAGGACAATGCTTGAGCATGAAGCCATATTCAAGAACCAGGTACCATTTGTGTTCCAAACGATTCGTTGGACCTCCGTTCTTATGCTCGTAATATTATCCATATATGAAATAGGAGGTTCTGGCCAACACATTAACTTTTTGCTTCTTTTGTCTTTTGTCATTAAGCAGGTTCGTGAGTTGCATCGACTATATATAAAACAAAGAGAGTTAATGAATGACATCAAAAGATCAGAACACAGAAATCAGATACCAGTAGATATATCGTTCTCATCTAGTCCTCTAGCATCTCACAATATTCCTGATGGTGCAAGGAAATGGCATCTCCCAAGCTTTCCTCTTGCAGTTTCTTCTAGTGGTGGACCATCGGTACCTGGTGTTGAAGATGTCAAATCGTCTTTAAGTTCTTTGAAAGAAAACAATAGAAGCGATGGTCTCTTACCATCCCAAAATGGAACTAATTCAAAAGACTGCGAGGTACTAGATTCCAGACCCACAAAAGTTAGGAGGAAAACATTTGATCTTCAACTTCCAGCAGATGAGTACATTGATAGTGAAGAAGGGGAGGTATTTCATGATGAAAAAGTGCCTCCCATCTTGGGTTGCCATTTAAATGGCAAAAAGAAATTAGAGGCTCGGAGCTGTGTGACGGCAAATTTGTATTCAAATTCTGGTGAAAGAAGTGGTGACCAAGTTGATGCTTTGAGATCTGACTCGTGTTTACGGAACAGATATGGTTTGGCTGACTTGAATGAGCCTGTTCAACTCGAAGAGACAAATGGGTCCAATTTTTTTGATCTTCCTAGCACTCGTGACTCCAGCAATGGGGAGACCCAAGGCCCCTTTCAATCATCTATGAAGCAAGAAATTTTACTGAACTCTAGTAATGAAAGTGGACACGCAACAAATAGGAATCCATATCTTGAAAATGGAAATAGAAGAGAGGCATTCCCTAACGTCTTTGAAGCAGGTATGATTTCTTCGTAATATTACATGAACTCTCGTAATTTTTTCAAGCAGGGCTTTTGCTATTCCAACAACTTTCTCTTTAGTCAATTTTGCACATGTAATATTTACAAAAACCTCATATTTTATGCTTTGAGTACATGAACAGAAAAAGGAACATTAAACCTGAAGAATCGATATCTCTATACCCTAGGTGGTTAAGTATTTGAACCGGAATTCTTGACTTGGAATGTTGTAGGTTTATGAATACAGCAGTAGTTCGCTTTAAGAAGATTTATCACTTGTTTGATGCCCTTGATTTATTTTATCTTCAGGGCGTAGTAAGGACGGCAGAAAACCTTATATGCATGGTCAAATGGAAAAATTCCATTTATCTTCTAATCCAGTGCAAGTTCCACTAAACAAGTTTCATGATCTTCCAGTCTTCTATCTCAATGATAAAAGCAGGGTTCAACAGGAGTTTGACAGGCCAGTTAGTGGTTTTCAATTATCGAAAAGAAGTTATGAAATGTCTAATACTGGGGATCCTGGTTATCTTTTAGCTTCTCAGACATCTCGTACATATCCGATCGCTCCTTCTTCGGACGTGGGCAAGTCTTGGGCTCACTCCGGTTCATCTTGGGAGAAGCCAAATGGCAACTGCTCCCAAAAGTCAACATCAGGTCAAACACAGCCATGTTTCAAGTCATCTCCTGCTATGCACAAGAGTTTCCCTTCATCAGCTCAGAACAATGGAATTTTTTGTGATAGATGGCAGCTGAGTAGCGACTGTCCTAACCCTGGGTCCAGTTGTGAAACTCCTTACCAGAATGGATTTTATCTCGGGTCTACCTCAGGTTCCAAAGGCGGAGTTCTCTCCTCTACCATATGGCATGACCATGCAGCGAACTCCTACAAGAGCTCTGGTCGCGTGGGCACAAATTCTCCAAAAGACATTAACTTGAATGTAGCACTCTCGAAAAGTTTATCAAACGAGGCTGGTCAACTACCAACTTACAGGACCAGGGAGGCAGAACAGAAGAACGGGGACCATCATAATATATTACCATGGTCAAGAAGTGTACCTGCTAATAAGAATGAAACCATCAATTCAAGAAGATTCTCTAGTACCGCAGAGCTTAGTTTTGTGCTCTCTCCAAAGAATCAACTTTCTGACAGAAATGAAACTGAAAATGTCAGTAAAGTTATATGTTATCCAAACATTGAGTCTAGTTCACGTTGTAGTGACATAGAGCCAAGGATTTCGGAACTTGGTGAATGCCAGAGTAACAGAAAACTTCTCGGGTTTCCCATTTTTGAGGAGCAGCGCATTTCTAAGAATGAATCGTTCTCTCTTACATCCCCGTCAGTATCTCTTCCTAATCCATCCGAGAATGAAGTGGAAGATAGCCGGAAAACTAGAGGGCTTGATATAAATTTGCCTTGTGATCCTTCAGTCTTTGAGTCAGATAACACTACTACCGGATCTCTGGCTGTAGAGAACCGAAAGGACACAAAGATCCCTAATGTTAGAGTTCATATTGATTTGAACTCATGCGTCAATGATGAAGAAGCATCTATGAGACCCCTACCCGTGGCTTCAACTGCCAAGGAAAAGGTCGCGGTAGAGATAGATTTAGAAGCCCCCGCAATGCCGGAGCCTGAAGAGGAGGACATCATTGTAGAAGAAGAATCCGTAGAAAAAGGGCATGAACAGCAGTTGCAATCTCCCCAACATAAAGCTGTTGATATTCAGGATGATCTTATGGCTGTAGCAGCAGAGGCAATAGTTGCCATCTCTTTAACATGTGGTCACTCCTGCCATTTGGATGATACCGGTAGCAATGCGTTGGAAGATTCTTCAATCGACCCTCTAAATTGGTTTGCGGAGATAGTTTCCACATGTGCAGATGATGTAGAGACCAGGTCTAACACTGTATTGAGAGGCAAAGATGGGAAGGATCATGAGGAATCCTCTGTGAGAGGGATCGATTTCTTTGAATGCATGACTTTGAGGTTGGCAGAGGTTGGTGAAGAAGAGTACATGCCTAAGCCCCTGGTCCCAGAAAGTATAGAAATTGAAGATTGTGGAACCAATTTGTTGGCAAATCGACCGCGAAGGGGGCAGGCGAGGAGAGGGAGGCAGCGGAGGGATTTCCAGAAGGACATTCTTCCAGGGCTTTCATCTCTATCAAGGCACGAGGTTACAGAAGATCTTCAGACATTTGGTGGACTAATGCGAGCGACGGGACACTTGTGGCATTCAGGAGTTACGAGGAGGAACTCTACTAGAAATGGTTGTGGTAGGGGAAGACGACGATCAGTGATCAGCCCGCCTCCCCCATGTAATCAGCTGATACAGCAACTAAGTAGCATTGAGATGGGTCTGGAGGATGGAAGCCTGACCGGGTGGGGGAAGACAACCCGACGACCCCGACGGCAGAGATGCCCGGGCAGCAACCCTCCAGCAGTTCCTTTAACTTAAAAAAAAAAGAAGAAGAAAGGTTTGATTTGATTAATTGAGGATGATGATATGATGTTATAGAGGGGAAAGGCGGGATTTAAGATCCATGGAGCAGAACACACACACACACAGAGGTCACAAGGTGTGGTGTTTGTACATTTGAATTTGATAGCTGAAGTCTGAAGATTTGGGTTCTGTATCTCCATAATCTGTGTTTGGCAATTCTGTATTATTGAGATAAATAATGTTGCATGATTATGATTTGTTGCTAATGCTGGATATACAACCAGAGTTCCTAATTCACACTTTTATACTCTGCAATTCTGTTTTATTTGTGTGTACTGGGTAGTGTAAGGCTTAGGAGGAGCGTGGAGCAGACGCGCGGGGGGTGTCGCGTGGGAACAGGTTCTTAGGGTTTCGTGTGGGCATGTCGGTGTCCAAGTTGATTTGGTGCTACACGTACACAACAGACAGTTTCCTAATCAAAACCGTGGGTCCCACTCATCCAATCACAATCTTCTCTTTCCTCATTTCGATTCTCTCACCGACCACTTCCTCACGCTTATGTCACGTGTTTCTTTTTCTTTTTTTCTTTTTTGTATTTTACTTCTATAATTTTATTTTTTATTATCTTGCAAAACATTATTAAAATTAATTAACATAAAATATGATTTGATGTTTAAATACATGTGATTTATTAATGGATTGAAAATTATCTCAATCGTTTTTTATCTTCTTAAATTAATTTTTTTTTTATCTCAATAGTTTTGCTGATATCCCTCATATTTATCTGACCAATTAGCTTATGAGAGCTGGTATAGAATATAGATACATTAGATCAATAGAACTAGGCTAGGGCCGGCTCCCATCCTCAATTTCGGGGATTACGGTGGAAAAATTTTCATTATTTTAGTTGTACTTTTTTAATGTTAAAATATTATTTTTAAAAAGTGGTCAGTAGATAAAAAAAAAAAAAAGTGATCAGTTTAGACCATATTTGCAAAATTTTAACACCTTATTATAAAGTAATATTTACATTTTAAAAGATATATTGCTTGTAATATCGTGTTGAAATTGTGATAGACCAAAATGAGACCAAAATGAACCAGAATTTTAACACCTTATTATATTGCTTGTAAGGGACCAAAATTGTCCCATTTTAAAAGTATAGAGACAAAAATGAACATTTTGAAAGTAGAATAACAAGTTGAAAGTACATGGACCAAACTAGTATTTTAACATTTTTTGTTTATTTTAATATATGTAATTCTAAAATATTTATTTTAGTATTTATAATTTTAAAACACGATAAATTTAGTCTTTATTTACGAAATTTTAACACAAATTTTATACATAATGTTCTTTTAGTACAAATTGTGTGATTCAAGTGTCATACTAGAATTACGATCCAAATAGATTAGATAAAAATAAAAATGAAGATGCCAAAATGGTTTTAGTACAAGACCAAAATGAACCAAAATTGAAAATATAAGAATTATTTAAACATTTGAATTATTAATTTGTTATTTAGTTAAAGATTAATTAAATAGTAAATGTTTAAAACATATACTTTGAAGCTAGTAAAAACATTATTTATTAAATTTTAATAATCAATTGTATACAAAGTATTTAATATTATTAATAAATATAATAAAAATGACAATTAAATGATATCACCGTCAAGAGCGTATTCATTTGTCCTCAAAATTAAATAAAAAATTGTTGCACACCATGTAACATCTCGGTTTGCTTTTATTTATCATTAAGGATCTAGTAGTATTGTTCTATTTTATCAAAAGTAAAATTAAAACAATTCGTTATCCTTACGCTCCAGAGGAAAATTCAGACTCATTACCTTTTGTCGAACATAAATTCTTTAATCAGTTAAACTATGTTTAAATTAACAATTACGAACTAAATTACGAAGAAAGAACTTTATTTTACTGATTGGAAATCGAAAGCGTATTTTCACATTATTTCAGGCGGAAAAAAAAAGAAAAAGAAAAAGACAAGGTGATTTTATATTTAATTTTTGGAACTAGAAAATGTTTTATTTTAAAAATTCTATTTCCTGATGGGTCAAAAAAGCCCTGTTTGATTTGGGCTTTGGTCCACAATAACTAAGCGAAGTCAAATCCAGCTCTGTGTTGTATAAATGGGCCCTGTAATGACCCACAGTGAATCATCCCTTCTTCCACCTCTGAATCAGCCCTTCAATGGCTCTGTCACAGCTTCCTCCAATTTCCGCCGCCTTCATCGCCTCCTCTTTAAACTTTGCAGCTTGTGCCCTAAAAGCTTCACTCTCCATCATCTCTCTAATCCTCCCTCCAAGTTCCAGACCCTTCACCAGACATTTCTGACCCCATCCCCAATTCTCAACCCACATTCCCAGCYCTGTCTTCGCAACCAATTGCGCATTGATCATCTGGTCCCCATTTTGGGGCCAAGCCAACACCGGCACCCCACTCGCCGCCGCTTCCATCACAGAATTCCACCCACAGTGGCTTATAAACCCGCCCACCGCTCTGTGCCCCAAAATTTCCGGTTGATTCACATATTCCTTAACCACCATTCCCTTATCCTTCATCTTCTCCATCAGCTCTTTCCCCACTACCTCCTCTAACCCCTCTTTGTCTTCCTTGTCCACTACCTTATCTTTCACTACCCACAAGAATCTGTACCCACTATTAACCAACCCACTTCCGATTTCCTTGATTTGCTCCCTCGACGCCGCGGTTCGGCTGCCGAAACTGGCGAAAACAACCGATCTGGGAGGTTGCTCGTCCAGCCATTTTATTGGAGATTTGGCTTCTGGGTTCTCGAATTCACTTGGCAATAAAGGGCCTAAGCCTATCACTGGGGGTAATCCATGGACTACCTCTCCATCGTTGAGCGCTGCGAGAGTATCTCCTTCCATTGCGTCCATGGCGTTGAGCAAAATCCCGTTCAGTTCTTTGACCTTCTGTCCATCTTGGGTAAATATTTTCCTGAAGATGCTGTTGTTGACGAGCAGGGGAGGAGGGAGTGAAGTTTTGGGGATTGAACCGATGGCAGGAATGTGAATCGAGTCACCAGATTCACCAGACCTTTTAGCGAACGGGTAATAGGCGAAGAGAGACAACATTATGGCGGAGGAAGTGAAGATCACGTAATTGGGTAATTTAAGGGCCGCAGTAAGTGTGAGAGCAGAGGAAATCAAGCTCACGTCGTAGACGAGGACGGAAATAGGTGGAGAGAGAGCGGCAAGTTGAGGAGCGAGGAGATGAACGGAGCGGCGAATTGCCTCAAATTGAAGAAAAAATGGGTCGTCGGAATTTGCCATAGAAGGGTCGAGAGGTAAGATTTGGAACTTCAATTCAGTGATTTGGGGAAAAGCAGAGAGAAAGCGGGAGATGAGATGGGACTCGGCAGAAGAGACGGCGGGGTGAGAAGTGATGAGGGTGAGTTTGCAGTTATGGCGGATGAGAATGTGGGCGAGTCTGAGGAAGGGTACTAGATGGCCGATGCCGGCGCTTGGGAAGAGGGCCACGTGGGTTTGGTGGCCGGAAAGTTGATCGGAATCTGACATTTCCGGTGAGACTTAGATCTCGACGGGGGTCTGAAATTCATCGTCTTCAACCTCACTGGTTAGTTTTGAAGAGAGCTTCTGGTGTCCTTACAGCCTCTTCTTCTACCTACTACGCTACGCAATAAATTTCATTTATTAGTAATTAACAGCCACAAAAACAAATAAAATTGAGGTGTTTACCAGTAAAAACACGTATATTTTATGAACAAAATTAACAAAGCACATCTAAACACTCATGAGCCGCCAGAAACGAAGATAACTTCCGTCGGCCAACTCTCCAACCAAATCTCTGTGTTATCGTAGTTTTTTTGGTTTATCGATCTTGATCGGATCCTATTTTTGAATCGGTCGAACGCTTCATTTGGTAAAAATCCTTTAGCCACTGCTGCAATTTCTCCTGATTCTGAAATGTCGTCCATTTCCTTGTATACAATTCATTAAAAAATTGATAACTATGATTCAGTCATGTTTAATGGATGAATTAACAACTCATCAATTATAAATTCCTCATACCTCTGGTCACCCAATCTAAAGAATTGAGCTACTAAGTTAAGCTTTTATAGGAAAAGTAAAATTGCTAGTAGATTAACATTTTGGGAATAGATGGAGGGGTTTTTTTTTTTATAATAATTTAACATATTTAAAATGGTATTAAAGTGAGAGATCTTGAAACCCTGTTATTCTTCTCTATTTAATATTGATTTCTACGCTTAGTTTCTATAATGATATGGTTCACTTCAATAGAATACATTGAGTTTTGAAAGAGACCATCCTTTTAACTGACATTTCCTGACCACGAGCTAATCTTAATTTCAAAATTTTTTTCCTAAATAAAAAGCAAAAAAGGGGAAATGGTCATCGAATTTTTTTCTCAAAATGTAATTTCAAACCTTTGTTTAGACACAGCAAAAGTCTAAGAAATAAACGCACAAGATTACAATGGAAAAGATGTGGCAAAATTCACTAAGAAATAACAAGCTTTAGAATTGGTTTTTTGCCCCATCATATTTTCTTGTTTCTATTTCTGATCCATTAAACGTAATTGATAATATAATATATATATTTTAATCAAACTACAGCAGCATGAGATAAAATTAACCAACCTACATCTAAGATCCAATTTGAAAAAATAGAAAGTTTAGAGTAAAAAGATTGACTCGTCCAACCAAATTTAAGTGAAAGGATATTCATGAGTGAACATAACAAGAATACATTATAAGAGAATGACAAAATCTCTATTGACACAAGATTTTTGCTCAAAACGAAGCCAAGCCACCCGCCACAGCAACACAAACACAACAGATTGCCCCCAAAGGGGTGACCTGAGAACACAAACGTGCATTCTGATTTTTGAATCCCAAATCCACTTGTGTTCTCCGGTGCACTCCTCTGGGGTTACCCTGTTACGTACGCCGACATGTCGGAAATCCCCTCCCTCTCCCTCTCTTTATATCTTCCAAACCCGATATTGCCACCATGTCGTCATTCTCACAACACTACCAAAAAAAATGTTGTCATCGTCTCCACATTCCGGGCCCAAATTCACAGCGAAAGCCCAGTTTTGAATTCTCCAGGCCCAATTATACGGGCCTGCTAGATCCGGGCTTGCCGACATGGTCGTTTGGAGTATTTATTATATTAAATGACAGTGGAGCCCACGCTGAAGATTTTTAATTCAACCTCCACTGTTCCAGTTCCTCCAATGGTGGAATATCTGCAACTTTCCTCCATTTGGAACCACAAATTTTTTTTTTTTTTAATAATCAAAATTCATTCAATTTTCTTCTCTACAATTTATCCACTCCAAGCTCTATATAATACTTTCCTGCATAAATCTCCGTCAAATTGAATTATACGTCTTCGCTTCAAGAATGGACCTTTTTTCTAAACTCAGTGGCTCCACCGACAAGCCGGAGGACCCGGAGCACCACCGGACATCGGCTTCCGATCTCTTGTCCAGCGCCAAACTGGTGGCGGATGCGGCCAAATCCTCTTTTGGCGGCGAGAGCCACGCCGTCGACAAGGGCAAGGTCGCCGGAGCAGCCGCCGACCTTCTCGGGGCTGCTTCTGATTACGGCAAATTCGATGAAACCAAAGGACTTGGCAAGTATGTAGACAAGGCCGAGGACTATCTCAATCAGTATGAAAAGTCTCATTCCGCTCCCCACGGCTCCGACGCCGAGCCGAAGCCACCGAAGGCCGAGGAGCCGCCGAAGAAAGAGAACTCCGGCGAGGGGGAACACGGCGGATCTGGGTTTGGGGATTATTTGAAGGTGGCTGAAGGCTTCTTGAAGAAATAGTCTCTTTTTCTTTCGCAGCTGGGTGTTTCTTTTATGTCTTTCTGTGTAATTCTGTAAATAAAGGTTTGCATTTACTGCTTAACCTATGATGAATTTGGATGTTGTACTAGTTAATTTTCTCTGTTTTACTAACCCTTCATATGTTCAGTTCGTGATTTTTGTCTTGTTCTTGACAAAGAAAAAACAAGTGATTAAAGACACAGTAAAAACAGAGTAAGAACAGAGAACCCATCTGAAAACAACTTGAAATTACTGGTTATTTTTTTCCACAAAGCAATCATTAGTTTGAATACAAAAAATGAAAAGGTTCAAAAAGAAAAAATCAGTCAAATCATTACACTTTGATGGTCAACGAAGTTATGATAGGAATATTTACAAATACTAATATTGAAATTAAGAATCACAATTTAGTTTCAGCAGCAATAACAAGTAACAGGGAGGTCCCCTGTTTCTCTGAGAACATCTGCTTTCTGCTTGACTTTAAGAGTGTCGTTCCTTCGTTTTTCCTCTGCTTTGGCTCTTGCTTCTGCTGCTATTTGCTTTATAAACTCCATATCCTCCTCGAACTTTTTTCTTCCTTTTTCCCTCTTCCTCCTCTTCACTCCCACCGCCTGCAATGGTTAAACAGAATCATTTATATGTAAAATTTACAAACTTTGAAAAACAGAGATAAACTGATGATGAACCTGTGATTCTTCCAATTTGCGCATGGCTTTCTCCCTCTTCTTGGTTTCCCAGTAAGAAATTGTCTCGTTCACCTTCTCGGACCTGGAAATTTCTACCCTCTTAGACATGTGTAAACAATGACACATGGAATCTCTCGTTCTAATATCATGTTAAAATCATGTTAAGGATGAATAAATCACCCTTCAACCTAAAAGTTTAAGCTAATGGATTAGGTAAATTTAATTCATTCATTTATATCTAACGTGATGTAAAATTAGATTGATTATGGAGAGAGGAAGAAAAAGGGAGAAGAATTGAGTACTTGTTTCTGATTTTAGCCATCTCAGCCTTTTCCCAGAAATCTGCTTTTGTTTGTGTTGGATTAGATGGGTTAGTTTCTTTTGTTTCGGGTGGTCCAGTTGAATTCGATGGCTTTCGAGAGATGGGCGGAGTTGGAGGTCTCGGAGTCGGAGTCGGAGTTGGAGGTCTCGAAGTCGGAATCCGAGTCGGAGTTGGAAGTACTGCTGGTTTTTGGGGTTCTGAGAATTTTCTGCTGCCGGAGATGATGTCTGGTTTGTTGTCTGAAAAAGTTGGAGTCTTTCTCATGGATAATGAAGAAGAAGGATCCGTTAGTTTTTGATCTGTTGGTTTCTGTTTTTGTTTCCCATCTGAGCCTTCTCCGGGATCTTTATCTAACATAGAAACCATCTCATTAGTTACATTCAATTACAAATTTGGCATCAAATTATCGAATCATCCATTCATTCTTTTTTTTTTTTTACCATCTTAGTTTCTTAAAACTTGAACAGTGTTATCATTGTTGATAAAACTAAGGTGAAATTATGAAATTCGTACTAGCTATCTTTAAAATTTTCAATTTACTCCTTACAATTTGAATTTATTCATTTTAGTCCACGTAGACGTTGATAACATTACTTGTTTTTTATTTAGTGTCAAGGAAGTAACATTTAACCTTTTCCACTAGAGATGAGTAAAATGAAAATTGTATAAGTGCTTAAAAAATATTTTAGTTACAAGGGGTGGGATGATGTAACTAAATTATAAGGACTTAATTGAAAATTTTGAAATCACGGAGAATATGTTAGAATAATATTGAAATCATGATCCAATAGAAACTTTTTAATTAAACTCTAAATCTTATTTTAATTCATGAATTTTTCAATACCATGGTCCTTTAAATTTCGAAAAAAAAATTGGTCTCTAATTTTTATAATGTTTATTTTAATTATTGAATTTAAAAAAGTGATAAATTTAATTCTTGTCATACCAGTGTTACACATTTCAAAAATTTTGAGATCAAAATGAAACAGGTATAAAACTTGAGGACAAAAATATATATGAGGGAAGTTTTGGGGTTAAAAAGAATAATATAAAAAATTACCAAGAGATTTAAAACATAGCCCAAATTATAGGTCAAATTTGTAATTTAACATAAAACAAATATTTTTTAACGGGGAGGAAAATGCAAAGAAGAAATTACTGGAGGGCCGCCGGGAAACTTTGGAAGGATCCGGCGCCGGACGTGGAGCGAGGGGGCGAGTGTCGTCGTCCTTGATGTACTTTATCTTCGCCGACGACGACGTTTCACGATCACGGCGGTCGGAGTTAATTTTCCGTGTGGCGATTTCTGATTGGTCTTCATTAACGGAATGCACCGCAAAGACCGCTGCTGCGACGGCGGCCACGTGCTCTAATATTCCGTCATCGGATAATTCATTATCTCCACTCATTTGCCGAGAAAATTGTTCTCTCAGCCACCTCCCCGCCGTTTTCTTCTCTGCACAAACAAACGTTAAACTTCAAAAATACCACGTTTGTTCCAAACTTTTAAATGTAAATTTCAGCCTTGAATTTTTAATAAATTTGAAAAAAGAAAAAAAAAATAGTCTTCACTATCAACGTTTGCAGAAAAACAGTTTCTGTATGTATTTTTAGATAGAAGCTTGAAAAACATATTCATCATATATTATCAGTCACATATTTGGTCATTTATTATAGGTTTAAATATAGAAAAAAATTCTCTCCTATGGTCCAATAGCATATAGGTAATATAGACAAGTATTTTTTTTTATTAATTTTACATGGTTCCTGCATGGTCTACTTATCTATATGCTACAAGAATTCAGAGGAGCTAAATTTTTCTTTTATATATTATTTATTGATTTATTTTTATCTTCATGTACATTTTTTAAAAAGTGATTAAAATTTTAGCATTACATCTGGGAATTAAAAATTTTAAGATATAACAATAAATTTGTATTAAAATGTTGGAAATATGGGTTTTTTCCAATCAAATTACCTTTGAAAGATTGGGACTTTTGGGGAGGCAAATTTATTTCCCTGCTACTGCCTTGTTCTTCTCTGTTGTGTGGCCTAGCTCTGGGATATTTGGCCCTGAAACCAGTGGTTAGAGAGAGATCTTCGTTATTATATTTTATTAATTTCCTCGGACTAATAAAATAAAATAAAATACCTCATCTGCATCAGCAAACTATCCATGGTTTGAAAGAAGGGTCTCTCTGTGTAATGAGATTTGTTGTGTGTGGAGAATGATGGCGTGGTGGAGGGGATGGGGTTTATTTGAAGAGCAAGCCAAGTGAAGAAAAAGAGGATTTAAAAGGGAAAAAAGTTGACAACTTTTGAGTGTTTCATATAGGAATCAATGGAAGAGAAGTGAAGTTTAAATATTCTTTGCATTCAGTTCATGGGTTTGGATCTTCTGAAACAGAGCTTTTAGTGAAGGAAAAGTATTCTTTCTTTCTTTCCAAAGCATTTTGGCCCTCGTATCTTTCTTCTACAGATAATCAGCTTTTTGTTCTCTCATTCATTATCCCATTCATATTTGGATAATATTTAGGGATGATATTCATCCTTAAAAAGATTAATTTGTTCACGATAACAACTATTATTTTATTGTTTTATCAACATATTAATAATATGCTATTTGGACGCATGAAATTCAACTCACTCGTCAATAAAGTCCATTTTCCTTTTAGATTTTGACATTCTATTGAAAGGAGTTCAAATGACGTGTCCTCTTATGTCAAAATATGACTAAAAAAATATTTATTGAAATAGACTTTCCATTAACAAATCTTAACTCAAGCTTTCGGGAAGGTAAGATTAAGAAAATTCTATTACTTGCAACTTTCTCCGGACCAAAAAAAGCATGAAAAAAAAATCCTCATTGAAGTTTTGAATCTCTGCCCAAAAGATTGAAATATAGAAATATCCCTGAAAATCAGGTGGGAGAAAGTATGATTTTTCCTAAAAATAATATATATTTTAAAAGTTAAGGAATAAGATTTGGAAAGTAACACAAAAGTGAGATAGCAAAATCGGATTAAAGTGTATGACCTATGCCAATTTTTTAGTCTATATTATACATAGTTTTAGAAATCGTTTTGTTATTATTTTGAAAGTTACACTATTTTTTGTCATTTTTCTTTTAAGAATTACTGTTTATGAAATTTCCCCAGAGAAAATACAGAATAATGGAAAAGAACCATATTTGCAATTACCAATTAGGAAAAAGAAAAAGAATAATAGTAAACTGACTATTGACATCACAAATCACAACCCCTACTTGGAAATGCAAAACTAAATCCTAAAACCTAAAATTAAAAAGAAAAAAGAGAAAATCAGAGTAGCCAATTTAGGCGCAAGCAGAAGCTCTGAAGTCTTTGATGGTGACGAAGACGTAAGAATCCGGCGAAACCGACACATCGGAAGTGGGGTCCACGAGCTTGGGCGACATGTCGGGAATGTCCAAAGTCGGCGTGAGCCGGAGAGGAGTACCGTTCAAGAGCACGACATCGCTCTGAATATCGCCGTCTTTGGGGCTCAAATGGTACTCTTCTCTCGCCTTAAGCCTTCCGCCATTACAGCTCGGATACAGCTTTCTGTCGTTCACAATATTCACATCAAAAGTTGTGGAGTTCGACATGTTGATTAGAAGCACAGTGATGCCGCTCTGAAACAAAATAGTTAAGAAAAAAGTTACAACCCAAAACAAAAAGATGTCTTCTTTTGAGAGATAAGAGAGAAGAATGGGGATTTTGGGTTACTCTGTTCTTGCTGCAGTGAGAATACACACGAAGATATGGAGAGCCATCGTGGGAAACCGAGAGAACCTTCTTCCCCATTAATCTGTGCCACAGAAGTGCGCTGTTTCACGAAAACGAGTGTTAAATCCGGTTTAAATTGATGGGTTACAGTAAATTTAATCTAAACCGACCCATAATAATCCGGGTTGGGGATGAAAGTGGTGGTGTTGAGCAAGGCGTAGTTTCCACCGATCAAGGCTTGTCTGCAGTAAGCGTGATGGTTGTATGTGGCGGTCATCCCCAATTGATCCAAATACCTGACGTAAAAAGGGATCAAAATAAATATTTTCAGAGTACAGGAACAAATTAAAAAGTTTCGAGAACAAAATGAGGACCAATTTAGAAGGTAAAATGAATTTTCAAATTACAGTTACAAGTTTAGAGACCAAAATAAATAAGTAAGGAATCCAAATAAACATTTTTGAAAGTACATGACTAAATTAAATTCTACCAGAAGGCATTGACGAAGGTGTGAGAAACTGTTCTGCCACCGCTGTTATAAGCTCCACCAGATTCACCCACCCAAGGCTTGGACCATGGAGCAAAGCTCTGGGAGACGGCTGCAGCCTCCTTGAAAGTTTGGGCAATTTGGTCCAGAAAATAAGGGTCTTGAATCTTGTTTATAAGATCAGGATCAACACCTACATGAATTCCGATTTAAAATGGGTATCCCGAGCAATTCCGATAATCAGGTTCATTGTAGTGTGAAATACCTGCACCAAGATTGTAAATATGGTGGGTGACACCATCGACAACATTTGGGTCTGTGTTTTGGAGGAAGGTTTTGAACCATTCCTTGTCGAAGAAACCAGCAGGGCCCAGAATTTTGGGTCGGTTTTTGGGATCAGGATAAATCTGTTCCACTACTTGTCTCATGAGACTGAGATCTTTCCCATATTGGTCAGGCTCGAGCCTTGCAGAAACTCCTCCTGCACACAGCTCATTGCCTGTTTTCCAATACCAAAACTTCTCGGTCAAAATTGTGTAAAAAAGTTTAGAAAGTTCATAACTTTAAGATTACCCAATTCATAAGAATCGATTTTGTATCCCTTGGAGGCAGTGTACTTGATGAAATCTCGAGCATTTCGAGGATCCCAATCGCCAACCCAGTTGATAGAACCGTCGTTGGCTGGTTTCTTTCCCATCAGAGCATTCAAACCAAACGTAATTCGAGCACTGAAACCAAAAAAGAAGCCAGAAAAAACATTGCTTTTGTTTCTAGCTAGACAAGAACATGTTTATGGTGATTTTGGTTCGTCACGTACGATGTTTTGTTGAACAGATCGTTAAGAGCATCCCATCTTTCCATGGGGAAGCACCCTTTGCTGAATCCAAACAGACCGTCTTTCTGTTTTCTCATTTGGGGACAATTCTTCACCGAGTTCCCAACTCTGTAGATTATTTGATCTTGCAGTGACCCTCCAATTCTGATTCTCAGAGGATTGAACGCTGAAAAACAGTGAATCCCAGAAACATTTTTTAGTTTCTAAGAATAACCCAAATCGGAAAATCAGTAAAAACTCCGAAACTAACCCTTGATTGCGTTGTACAAGATAACATTTGGAAGATCCTGTAAAAAAACAGAGCAAAAACAGAGCTTCTATGGTTAGTAAATTACAGAGAGAAGATGAAGAACAAGATGGTGAAAATTATGAAGCTACCAAATTGAGAATGCCGGCGTTTCCCCACGGGCATTGGCCGTAATCGCATTTGTTTGCAGGCCACCAATCCAAAGTGGCACAGATGAAATTATCATCAGTTTCAGCAATGGTGGTCACTCCTTTGACTGAAACCTTTACGAATTCTCCTGAAATGGAAGATGAGAAAGAGAAGAAGCAGATGAGAAGGAGGAGCAAAGCTTTGGAAGCCATTGTTGCTGCTTAGAGAAACTTGACTATGGACCTGGATTTATAGGGAAGGAGGAAGGGGAAATTCGTTAAGATTAGCCATTTGAATTGCGGTGATTTCAAAAATTAGT